GCATAATTCTCTTATTCTATTAACCTCTCAAGTACATTGTTTACAGTGATTAATTATCAAATGTAAACGGCAAAGGGGAATAACTCCTCTCAGTAGAATACAAATTGGCCAGGACCAGAACACTTGACCAAATGGTCCAGATGTTAAAAAATCTGGTAAAAATACCCTTCCTTATTAAAACTTTTAATCTTTTTGCTTCTGATATGCCCAAGTGCAGAGAAAATTTTTAAAGAAATAATGCATTTTTACTACAGATTCACTATATTGTCAACCCCCTCCCCCCCTCCCCACCGAGAAACACTAGAGTCTCTCACCCTGGGTCCAGATGTTTGCTCATCATAAGTAATCACTTTGTTTATCTGCTTAATACTTAGTAGCAGACAGGATTATTTAATAGAATTAATACATTTTCACTATATTATCAAGAGCCCCACCCTTACACCAGCACATCTGACCCAGGGGTCATGCAATTCACTACTCTGGAAGAAGCACTCTTGCTCATCATAACTATATACTTAGCTTCTTTGCTTTTTAACCAAAAGCAGAAAAGAATATTTTCAAAGAAATTTTGCTTTTTCACTATATAATCAAGAGAGTCCCCCCCCCCCCCAACCTTTTCATTAGAACACTTGACCCTGGGGCCATGAAATTCACAATTTTGGTAGAGGCATCCTTGCGTATCATAACACTGTACTTTGTTAAAATAGTACCAAGGGGCAGAGAAGAAAATTTTCAAAGAAAAAATTCACCTTCACTATAGGATCTATATAGCCCCACCCTAGAACCAGAACCCCTGTCCCTGGGGCCATGAATTTCAAAATTTTGTAAGAGGCATCATTGCTTATCATAACAACGTACTTAGTTTGTTTCAAAAATACCTAGGAGCAGAAAAGAAGATTTTTAAAGCATTAATGCATTTTCACTATATAATAAATAGAGCCCGGCCCTAACATCAGAACCCCTGATCCAGGGGTCATGAAAATCACTATTTTGGAAGAGTCACCCTTGCTTATCATAACTATGTATTCAATTTGTTTCAATAATACCAAGGAGTAGAGAAAAAGATTTTCAAAGAAATGATGTATTACACATTCACTATGTGATCTATATAGCCCCGCCCTGGCACCAGAACCCCTGACCCTGGGGCCATGAATTTCACAATTTTGGTAGAGTCACCCTTGCTTATCATAACTATATATTCAATTTGTTTCAATAATACCCAGGAGTAGAGAAGAAGATTTTCAAAGAAATAATACACATTCACTATATGATCTATATAGCCCCCCCCCCCCCCCCCCCGGCAACAGAACCCCTGACCCTGGGGCAATGAATTTCACAATTTTGGTAGAGTCACCCATAACTATGTATTCAATTTGTTTCAATAATACCCAGGAGTAGAGAAGAACAATGCACTTTCTATATGATCTATATAGCCCCCCCTCCCCCCAGCACCAGAACCCCTGACCCTGGGGCTATGAATTTCACAATTTCAGTAGTCACTCTTGCTTAACATAACTATGTATTTAATATGTTTAAATAATACTCAGGAGTAGAGAAGAAGATTATCAAAGAAATAATGCACTTTCACTGTATGATCTATATAGCCCCGCCCTGGCACCAGAACCCCTGACCCTGGGGCCATGAATTCACAATTTTGGTAGAGTCACCCTTGCTTATCATAACTATGTATTCAATTTGCTTCAAAAATACCCAGGAGTAGAGAAGAAGATTTTCAAAGAAATAATGCACTTTCACTATATGATCTATATAGCCCCGTCCTAGCACCAGAACCCCTGACCCTTGGGCCATGAATTTCACAATCATGCCAACAGTTTGACTGCTTGATGTCCAGGAGGAAAAAAGAAGATTTTTAATGATTGCATTCATTTTGGTGCTTTTAGCCCCATCCCTCAGGCCCCAGGGAGGCAGGGACCATGATATTCACAAATTTTGTTCCCCTTCACACATAGATGCCATATGCTAAAATTGGCTGAAATTGGTTCAGCGGTTTCAGAGAAGAAGCTGAAAATGTTCAAATGTTTACACACGACGGACGACGCACGACGACGGACGAAAACGGAGAACAATAGGTCACCTGAGTGACTCATGTGACCTAAAAATATAAGAAAATTGACAAGTGATGATGGAAGTCAAATTACTGATCAAAAAGAGCTACTAAATGAACTGTATTATCAAAATCTCTACAAAAATACGAAGAATACTTAGATGATGTAGATTTGGATGAAATATTAGAAGGCTGTGATATTCCAAAAGTAAATCAGGAAATGGTCGATGAAATAGATAATGACATCTGCAGTGATGAAAAATGAAACTGTGAGGAAAAAGATAAAACAGGCTTAATTCTCCAGATTGATTTTGAAAAGTGTTCGATTCTGTGTCGTGGAAATTTATTTTAAGGTACTCAGTTTGTTTAATTTTGGAGAAAAAATTATTAGATAAATAAAATAACTTTTTTGTGATGCCAAACTCAGCGTTATACATGTTATTTTCTCTGAATTTTTGATATGACCAGGATGGTAATCAAGGTGTCCCGATATCTCCTTACCTCTTCATTCTATGTGCTGAAATTGTGCTGAAATTATGGGATATCAGGATAAGAAATAATAATTTTATACAAGGCATAGTTATCGAAAGAAATAAATTCAAATTATTACAATATGCAGATGATACTGTTATACTTTTAGATGGCCCAAAAAACTCTTTAAGAACTGCCCTTTTACTTGTAAACCAGTTCTCAAAAGTTCTCCGGTTTTAAACCAAATTTGAAAATACGCGATGTATAAAGATCGTCTCTTTAATTAAAAACTCAAACATTGAAAATACTCGTTTTCCATACAATTAAAATGGTCTCAGGAACCATTTACTGTGCTTGGTATAACATATTCTGCTTACCTGGACAAAGACGCAATAAATTATTTTAATTTTTTTCTTTTTTTTAACCTAAAATTGAAAAGAGAGAGAAAATGGTTTTTACATGGTCTAGAAGAATGCTGTCTACAGCAGGTAGAAAAATTGTAGGTAAAACATTAAATATCCCAAAGATGGGTACAGCCCACTAATTGTTTTCCCATAGGCGGCAATGTTAACATTTCTTCACATAGCAATGTCCCTAATTTTCGTTCAGCATTGAGTGACCCCTCAAATCAAAGCACATCAAGTTGTCTTTCCTTGGTTAAAATCTCGAGGTGGCATGTCAGATTCGTTTTCCGGCAAAATGCGTCTGTCTGCGTTAACCTCTGAAAATGAAAGTGAAAGTAGGGGATTTCAAGACTTCTCACTGGTGTTATAATACATAAAATAATTCTGCTGATCTTCTTGATAAATTACATCTGCCAAGCTTTTTTGCAAGGGAACATACTCCTTATCAACAAGTATGAGGCTCAGTTTAATACCTTATCACAGTTTTTTTTACTCAGGTCTGCAAATTAAAGAACTTGTAATTTTTTCTGCACTACTTTCTTCTCCTACCGATTCTAAAAATAATTAGAGGTATGTACCCAATATGAAAAGAATTTTCTGGATTTTACAACATTTAACATCATAAGTCATACTACAGACTATGTAGTGACATTATGCCAAATTTCAGGAAAATTCAATCATTAATAAAGATTTTACAGCATGCACAGTTCTATATGCAAAATTCTTTTAAAACGCTTCCATCTAGCCACAACTGCACCCAAATTTTAAGTCATCGGTTAGCCTATTAATGTACTTATACCATTTTTATTCTCTTTCATAATTTTAAATACATCAAGCAAAATCATAATCAAGCACTCATACGGGTCCATTTCTCTTATTTTAAAAAATCAATGCATTTTTGCACAAAATTTTATATCCCTCACCCTTGAATTCATTGTTTCTCCATGATTGACAAAAAAATTAAGTTTACAAATACCCCGAAAGTAGTAAAAATAGAAAGTACTGATTATTTCCTGTCCATTGATGCATCATTCAGGAAAATTGGTATAGGAATAAAGAAGTTATAAGCCCTTATATTCTTGTAAACATTCATCTGTTTCAAAGCAATTTTTACGCCAATGCAAGGTCACTCATCTATGACATCATAATGACATCATAATGGATTGCTTATTACACATGTAGTGTTACTTTTCCCGTACTTTTAATTAAAGTTGAAATTAGAACTTAAATATTCATTATAACTATAAAATAACAAAAATACTTGCATGAGCAGATCAAATAAATAGTCTACAGAAAATGTTTTGTTTCCATGGTAACCATTTTGTAATTTGTAGGAAAATGAAAGAGAACTTTGAAAGTTTTGAATTTCCTTACAAGTCGCTCATTCTGACTGACAAATATTAAAGAAATTTCAACTCTTATATTTTTTAATCTTAATATTTTATCATACACAACACTATGAATGTAACTGTTTTGAAATTCTCTTTAAAACATATTAGCTGTAAAATATATAGCATACATGTACAGATTAGTTTGATGTTCACTTTCATTGCTCAAATATTCATTTAAAATCTACATTTACTAAGCTTTAACACCCCCCCCCCCTCCTCCCGCACACACACACATACACACAAAGAAGCTTTAGAAAATTCAACTTACATATTAAAAGCACTGCCATCATTTTATATATGAAGACTCAAGCTGTGTTCAAATGAGTTTGTTTTTCCTGACTGATAGTTTTAAACACCATCTGCATGAACCTCAAAGTTAACCTGTATCACCATGAACCTAAAAAAAAATCAATTTAAAAAATGGTGCAATAATTAATCAGCATCAAAAAGCACCTAAAACATTCACAGACAGACATCAAACACACACAATCCTACAACATTCCCTGATGCCCTTAATTTGATATCAATTGAAAATTATGAATTTGCACTGATTAGTCTCAGCATTGTTAAATTACATGTAAATTAATAATACAGGTAAAAAGCATGTAACTGACAATAATTATACATTAGACAAATACATGTAATCCAGTTAATAAAATATAAAAAAAAAAAAATGTTAGTGTGCATGTTCACACACACACACTGCTTAACTTCTACACAACTGTAGCCTGACCGACTTCTTTGAAAAAATGCACATGTATGTCCTCGTTCATGTAATTCTATTCCATGAAAATAAAAGTTTTCATTTACAAATATTGTAATAAAGCATGGAAACCTCTTTTTTCTTTACCTCTTTCATAAAATGACAAATGCATATCACCTACATACTGCAAGACTCTGCATTAGGTAGCATAGCTGCACTAAGCAGTGTTGATAACTCACTGCCATTCTACTTTCACTTTGACCTTGAACTTCACTGAATACTGATTCCGACCTCATTTCTGAACTTTTGTGTATTGATGATAAACAATAGTGGTGGATGTACTTCTAAAATAATTGTTCCTTTTCTAAATCTCTATTAATGGCTCGGAATTAATAAATTGTATAGAATCGATACATTTAATTTACATGCTACATGTGTACACAATGGGAGATATGCGCATAAGCTGTCTGTTCCTAAAAGGGGGGGGGGGGAGGGGTATTAACAAATCGATTTGTTTCAAAATATGTATAAACAAATTAAAATTTGCTTCTTTCATAAATTTAAACAATTGGAAATGATAGTAAACACCGAGTTCAAAACAAAGTAAAGATCTATGAGAATTTTCTCTTACCAATAGGCTTCACATATTGGGTACAGCCCACTAATTGTTTTCCCATAGGCGGCAATGTTAACATTTCTTCACATAGCAATGTCCCTAATTTTCGTTCAGCATTGAGTGACCCCTCAAATCAAAGCACATCAAGTTGTCTTTCCTTGGTTAAAATCTCGAGGTGGCATGTCAGATTCGTTTTCCGGCAAAATGCGTCTGTCTGCGTTAACCTCTGAAAATGAAAGTGAAAGTAGGGGATTTCAAGACTTCTCACTGGTGTTATAATACATAAAATAATTCTGCTGATCTTCTTGATAAATTACATCTGCCAAGCTTTTTTGCAAGGGAACATACTCCTTATCAACAAGTATGAGGCTCAGTTTAATACCTTATCACAGTTTTTTTTACTCAGGTCTGCAAATTAAAGAACTTGTAATTTTTTCTGCACTACTTTCTTCTCCTACCGATTCTAAAAATAATTAGAGGTATGTACCCAATATGAAAAGAATTTTCTGGATTTTACAACATTTAACATCATAAGTCATACTACAGACTATGTAGTGACATTATGCCAAATTTCAGGAAAATTCAATCATTAATAAAGATTTTACAGCATGCACAGTTCTATATGCAAAATTCTTTTAAAACGCTTCCATCTAGCCACAACTGCACCCAAATTTTAAGTCATCGGTTAGCCTATTAATGTACTTATACCATTTTTATTCTCTTTCATAATTTTAAATACATCAAGCAAAATCATAATCAAGCACTCATACGGGTCCATTTCTCTTATTTTAAAAAATCAATGCATTTTTGCACAAAATTTTATATCCCTCACCCTTGAATTCATTGTTTCTCCATGATTGACAAAAAAATTAAGTTTACAAATACCCCGAAAGTAGTAAAAATAGAAAGTACTGATTATTTCCTGTCCATTGATGCATCATTCAGGAAAATTGGTATAGGAATAAAGAAGTTATAAGCCCTTATATTCTTGTAAACATTCATCTGTTTCAAAGCAATTTTTACGCCAATGCAAGGTCACTCATCTATGACATCATAATGACATCATAATGGATTGCTTATTACACATGTAGTGTTACTTTTCCCGTACTTTTAATTAAAGTTGAAATTAGAACTTAAATATTCATTATAACTATAAAATAACAAAAATACTTGCATGAGCAGATCAAATAAATAGTCTACAGAAAATGTTTTGTTTCCATGGTAACCATTTTGTAATTTGTAGGAAAATGAAAGAGAACTTTGAAAGTTTTGAATTTCCTTACAAGTCGCTCATTCTGACTGACAAATATTAAAGAAATTTCAACTCTTATATTTTTTAATCTTAATATTTTATCATACACAACACTATGAATGTAACTGTTTTTAAATTCTCTTTAAAACATATTAGCTGTAAAATATATAGCATACATGTACAGATTAGTTTGATGTTCACTTTCATTGCTCAAATATTCATTTAAAATCTACATTTACTAAGCTTTAACACCCCCCCCCCCTCCTCCCGCACACACACACATACACACAAAGAAGCTTTAGAAAATTCAACTTACATATTAAAAGCACTGCCATCATTTTATATATGAAGACTCAAGCTGTGTTCAAATGAGTTTGTTTTTCCTGACTGATAGTTTTAAACACCATCTGCATGAACCTCAAAGTTAACCTGTATCACCATGAACCTAAAAAAAAATCAATTTAAAAAATGGTGCAATAATTAATCAGCATCAAAAAGCACCTAAAACATTCACAGACAGACATCAAACACACACAATCCTACAACATTCCCTGATGCCCTTAATTTGATATCAATTGAAAATTATGAATTTGCACTGATTAGTCTCAGCATTGTTAAATTACATGTAAATTAATAATACAGGTAAAAAGCATGTAACTGACAATAATTATACATTAGACAAATACATGTAATCCAGTTAATAAAATATAAAAAAAAAAAAAATGTTAGTGTGCATGTTCACACACACACACTGCTTAACTTCTACACAACTGTAGCCTGACCGACTTCTTTGAAAAAATGCACATGTATGTCCTCGTTCATGTAATTCTATTCCATGAAAATAAAAGTTTTCATTTACAAATATTGTAATAAAGCATGGAAACCTCTTTTTTCTTTACCTCTTTCATAAAATGACAAATGCATATCACCTACATACTGCAAGACTCTGCATTAGGTAGCATAGCTGCACTAAGCAGTGTTGATAACTCACTGCCATTCTACTTTCACTTTGACCTTGAACTTCACTGAATACTGATTCCGACCTCATTTCTGAACTTTTGTGTATTGATGATAAACAATAGTGGTGGATGTACTTCTAAAATAATTGTTCCTTTTCTAAATCTCTATTAATGGCTCGGAATTAATAAATTGTATAGAATCGATACATTTAATTTACATGCTACATGTGTACACAATGGGAGATATGCGCATAAGCTGTCTGTTCCTAAAAGGGGGGGGGGGGGGGGAGGGGTATTAACAAATCGATTTGTTTCAAAATATGTATAAACAAATTAAAATTTGCTTCTTTCATAAATTTAAACAATTGGAAATGATAGTAAACACCGAGTTCAAAACAAAGTAAAGATCTATGAGAATTTTCTCTTACCAATAGGCTTCACATATGAAAAGAATTTTCTGGATTTTACAACATTTAACATCATAAGTCATACTACAGACTATGTAGTGACATTATGCCAAATTTCAGGAAAATTCAATCATTAATAAAGATTTTACAGCATGCACAGTTCTATATGCAAAATTCTTTTAAAACGCTTCCATCTAGCCACAACTGCACCCAAATTTTAAGTCATCGGTTAGCCTATTAATGTACTTATACCATTTTTATTCTCTTTCATAATTTTAAATACATCAAGCAAAATCATAATCAAGCACTCATACGGGTCCATTTCTCTTATTTTAAAAAATCAATGCATTTTTGCACAAAATTTTATATCCCTCACCCTTGAATTCATTGTTTCTCCATGATTGACAAAAAAATTAAGTTTACAAATACCCCGAAAGTAGTAAAAATAGAAAGTACTGATTATTTCCTGTCCATTGATGCATCATTCAGGAAAATTGGTATAGGAATAAAGAAGTTATAAGCCCTTATATTCTTGTAAACATTCATCTGTTTCAAAGCAATTTTTACGCCAATGCAAGGTCACTCATCTATGACATCATAATGACATCATAATGGATTGCTTATTACACATGTAGTGTTACTTTTCCCGTACTTTTAATTAAAGTTGAAATTAGAACTTAAATATTCATTATAACTATAAAATAACAAAAATACTTGCATGAGCAGATCAAATAAATAGTCTACAGAAAATGTTTTGTTTCCATGGTAACCATTTTGTAATTTGTAGGAAAATGAAAGAGAACTTTGAAAGTTTTGAATTTCCTTACAAGTCGCTCATTCTGACTGACAAATATTAAAGAAATTTCAACTCTTATATTTTTTAATCTTAATATTTTATCATACACAACACTATGAATGTAACTGTTTTGAAATTCTCTTTAAAACATATTAGCTGTAAAATATATAGCATACATGTACAGATTAGTTTGATGTTCACTTTCATTGCTCAAATATTCATTTAAAATCTACATTTACTAAGCTTTAACACCCCCCCCCCCCTCCTCCCGCACACACACACATACACACAAAGAAGCTTTAGAAAATTCAACTTACATATTAAAAGCACTGCCATCATTTTATATATGAAGACTCAAGCTGTGTTCAAATGAGTTTGTTTTTCCTGACTGATAGTTTTAAACACCATCTGCATGAACCTCAAAGTTAACCTGTATCACCATGAACCTAAAAAAAAATCAATTTAAAAAATGGTGCAATAATTAATCAGCATCAAAAAGCACCTAAAACATTCACAGACAGACATCAAACACACACAATCCTACAACATTCCCTGATGCCCTTAATTTGATATCAATTGAAAATTATGAATTTGCACTGATTAGTCTCAGCATTGTTAAATTACATGTAAATTAATAATACAGGTAAAAAGCATGTAACTGACAATAATTATACATTAGACAAATACATGTAATCCAGTTAATAAAATATAAAAAAAAAAAAAATGTTAGTGTGCATGTTCACACACACACACTGCTTAACTTCTACACAACTGTAGCCTGACCGACTTCTTTGAAAAAATGCACATGTATGTCCTCGTTCATGTAATTCTATTCCATGAAAATAAAAGTTTTCATTTACAAATATTGTAATAAAGCATGGAAACCTCTTTTTTCTTTACCTCTTTCATAAAATGACAAATGCATATCACCTACATACTGCAAGACTCTGCATTAGGTAGCATAGCTGCACTAAGCAGTGTTGATAACTCACTGCCATTCTACTTTCACTTTGACCTTGAACTTCACTGAATACTGATTCCGACCTCATTTCTGAACTTTTGTGTATTGATGATAAACAATAGTGGTGGATGTACTTCTAAAATAATTGTTCCTTTTCTAAATCTCTATTAATGGCTCGGAATTAATAAATTGTATAGAATCGATACATTTAATTTACATGCTACATGTGTACACAATGGGAGATATGCGCATAAGCTGTCTGTTCCTAAAAGGGGGGGGGGGGGAGGGGTATTAACAAATCGATTTGTTTCAAAATATGTATAAACAAATTAAAATTTGCTTCTTTCATAAATTTAAACAATTGGAAATGATAGTAAACACCGAGTTCAAAACAAAGTAAAGATCTATGAGAATTTTCTCTTACCAATAGGCTTCACATATTGGGTACAGCCCACTAATTGTTTTCCCATAGGCGGCAATGTTAACATTTCTTCACATAGCAATGTCCCTAATTTTCGTTCAGCATTGAGTGACCCCTCAAATCAAAGCACATCAAGTTGTCTTTCCTTGGTTAAAATCTCGAGGTGGCATGTCAGATTCGTTTTCCGGCAAAATGCGTCTGTCTGCGTTAACCTCTGAAAATGAAAGTGAAAGTAGGGGATTTCAAGACTTCTCACTGGTGTTATAATACATAAAATAATTCTGCTGATCTTCTTGATAAATTACATCTGCCAAGCTTTTTTGCAAGGGAACATACTCCTTATCAACAAGTATGAGGCTCAGTTTAATACCTTATCACAGTTTTTTTTACTCAGGTCTGCAAATTAAAGAACTTGTAATTTTTTCTGCACTACTTTCTTCTCCTACCGATTCTAAAAATAATTAGAGGTATGTACCCAATATGAAAAGAATTTTCTGGATTTTACAACATTTAACATCATAAGTCATACTACAGACTATGTAGTGACATTATGCCAAATTTCAGGAAAATTCAATCATTAATAAAGATTTTACAGCATGCACAGTTCTATATGCAAAATTCTTTTAAAACGCTTCCATCTAGCCACAACTGCACCCAAATTTTAAGTCATCGGTTAGCCTATTAATGTACTTATACCATTTTTATTCTCTTTCATAATTTTAAATACATCAAGCAAAATCATAATCAAGCACTCATACGGGTCCATTTCTCTTATTTTAAAAAATCAATGCATTTTTGCACAAAATTTTATATCCCTCACCCTTGAATTCATTGTTTCTCCATGATTGACAAAAAAATTAAGTTTACAAATACCCCGAAAGTAGTAAAAATAGAAAGTACTGATTATTTCCTGTCCATTGATGCATCATTCAGGAAAATTGGTATAGGAATAAAGAAGTTATAAGCCCTTATATTCTTGTAAACATTCATCTGTTTCAAAGCAATTTTTACGCCAATGCAAGGTCACTCATCTATGACATCATAATGACATCATAATGGATTGCTTATTACACATGTAGTGTTACTTTTCCCGTACTTTTAATTAAAGTTGAAATTAGAACTTAAATATTCATTATAACTATAAAATAACAAAAATACTTGCATGAGCAGATCAAATAAATAGTCTACAGAAAATGTTTTGTTTCCATGGTAACCATTTTGTAATTTGTAGGAAAATGAAAGAGAACTTTGAAAGTTTTGAATTTCCTTACAAGTCGCTCATTCTGACTGACAAATATTAAAGAAATTTCAACTCTTATATTTTTTAATCTTAATATTTTATCATACACAACACTATGAATGTAACTGTTTTGAAATTCTCTTTAAAACATATTAGCTGTAAAATATATAGCATACATGTACAGATTAGTTTGATGTTCACTTTCATTGCTCAAATATTCATTTAAAATCTACATTTACTAAGCTTTAACACCCCCCCCCCCTCCTCCCGCACACACACACATACACACAAAGAAGCTTTAGAAAATTCAACTTACATATTAAAAGCACTGCCATCATTTTATATATGAAGACTCAAGCTGTGTTCAAATGAGTTTGTTTTTCCTGACTGATAGTTTTAAACACCATCTGCATGAACCTCAAAGTTAACCTGTATCACCATGAACCTAAAAAAAAATCAATTTAAAAAATGGTGCAATAATTAATCAGCATCAAAAAGCACCTAAAACATTCACAGACAGACATCAAACACACACAATCCTACAACATTCCCTGATGCCCTTAATTTGATATCAATTGAAAATTATGAATTTGCACTGATTAGTCTCAGCATTGTTAAATTACATGTAAATTAATAATACAGGTAAAAAGCATGTAACTGACAATAATTATACATTAGACAAATACATGTAATCCAGTTAATAAAATATAAAAAAAAAAAAAATGTTAGTGTGCATGTTCACACACACACACTGCTTAACTTCTACACAACTGTAGCCTGACCGACTTCTTTGAAAAAATGCACATGTATGTCCTCGTTCATGTAATTCTATTCCATGAAAATAAAAGTTTTCATTTACAAATATTGTAATAAAGCATGGAAACCTCTTTTTTCTTTACCTCTTTCATAAAATGACAAATGCATATCACCTACATACTGCAAGACTCTGCATTAGGTAGCATAGCTGCACTAAGCAGTGTTGATAACTCACTGCCATTCTACTTTCACTTTGACCTTGAACTTCACTGAATACTGATTCCGACCTCATTTCTGAACTTTTGTGTATTGATGATAAACAATAGTGGTGGATGTACTTCTAAAATAATTGTTCCTTTTCTAAATCTCTATTAATGGCTCGGAATTAATAAATTGTATAGAATCGATACATTTAATTTACATGCTACATGTGTACACAATGGGAGATATGCGCATAAGCTGTCTGTTCCTAAAAGGGGGGGGGGGGGAGGGGTATTAACAAATCGATTTGTTTCAAAATATGTATAAACAAATTAAAATTTGCTTCTTTCATAAATTTAAACAATTGGAAATGATAGTAAACACCGAGTTCAAAACAAAGTAAAGATCTATGAGAATTTTCTCTTACCAATAGGCTTCACATATTGGGTACAGCCCACTAATTGTTTTCCCATAGGCGGCAATGTTAACATTTCTTCACATAGCAATGTCCCTAATTTTCGTTCAGCATTGAGTGACCCCTCAAATCAAAGCACATCAAGTTGTCTTTCCTTGGTTAAAATCTCGAGGTGGCATGTCAGATTCGTTTTCCGGCAAAATGCGTCTGTCTGCGTTAACCTCTGAAAATGAAAGTGAAAGTAGGGGATTTCAAGACTTCTCACTGGTGTTATAATACATAAAATAATTCTGCTGATCTTCTTGATAAATTACATCTGCCAAGCTTTTTTGCAAGGGAACATACTCCTTATCAACAAGTATGAGGCTCAGTTTAATACCTTATCACAGTTTTTTTTACTCAGGTCTGCAAATTAAAGAACTTGTAATTTTTTCTGCACTACTTTCTTCTCCTACCGATTCTAAAAATAATTAGAGGTATGTACCCAATATGAAAAGAATTTTCTGGATTTTACAACATTTAACATCATAAGTCATACTACAGACTATGTAGTGACATTATGCCAAATTTCAGGAAAATTCAATCATTAATAAAGATTTTACAGCATGCACAGTTCTATATGCAAAATTCTTTTAAAACGCTTCCATCTAGCCACAACTGCACCCAAATTTTAAGTCATCGGTTAGCCTATTAATGTACTTATACCATTTTTATTCTCTTTCATAATTTTAAATACATCAAGCAAAATCATAATCAAGCACTCATACGGGTCCATTTCTCTTATTTTAAAAAATCAATGCATTTTTGCACAAAATTTTATATCCCTCACCCTTGAATTCATTGTTTCTCCATGATTGACAAAAAAATTAAGTTTACAAATACCCCGAAAGTAGTAAAAATAGAAAGTACTGATTATTTCCTGTCCATTGATGCATCATTCAGGAAAATTGGTATAGGAATAAAGAAGTTATAAGCCCTTATATTCTTGTAAACATTCATCTGTTTCAAAGCAATTTTTACGCCAATGCAAGGTCACTCATCTATGACATCATAATGACATCATAATGGATTGCTTATTACACATGTAGTGTTACTTTTCCCGTACTTTTAATTAAAGTTGAAATTAGAACTTAAATATTCATTATAACTATAAAATAACAAAAATACTTGCATGAGCAGATCAAATAAATAGTCTACAGAAAATGTTTTGTTTCCATGGTAACCATTTTGTAATTTGTAGGAAAATGAAAGAGAACTTTGAAAGTTTTGAATTTCCTTACAAGTCGCTCATTCTGACTGACAAATATTAAAGAAATTTCAACTCTTATATTTTTTAATCTTAATATTTTATCATACACAACACTATGAATGTAACTGTTTTGAAATTCTCTTTAAAACATATTAGCTGTAAAATATATAGCATACATGTACAGATTAGTTTGATGTTCACTTTCATTGCTCAAATATTCATTTAAAATCTACATTTACTAAGCTTTAACACCCCCCCCCCCCTCCTCCCGCACACACACACATACACACAAAGAAGCTTTAGAAAATTCAACTTACATATTAAAAGCACTGCCATCATTTTATATATGAAGACTCAAGCTGTGTTCAAATGAGTTTGTTTTTCCTGACTGATAGTTTTAAACACCATCTGCATGAACCTCAAAGTTAACCTGTATCACCATGAACCTAAAAAAAAATCAATTTAAAAAATGGTGCAATAATTAATCAGCATCAAAAAGCACCTAAAACATTCACAGACAGACATCAAACACACACAATCCTACAACATTCCCTGATGCCCTTAATTTGATATCAATTGAAAATTATGAATTTGCACTGATTAGTCTCAGCATTGTTAAATTACATGTAAATTAATAATACAGGTAAAAAGCATGTAACTGACAATAATTATACATTAGACAAATACATGTAATCCAGTTAATAAAATATAAAAAAAAAAAAAATGTTAGTGTGCATGTTCACACACACACACTGCTTAACTTCTACACAACTGTAGCCTGACCGACTTCTTTGAAAAAATGCACATGTATGTCCTCGTTCATGTAATTCTATTCCATGAAAATAAAAGTTTTCATTTACAAATATTGTAATAAAGCATGGAAACCTCTTTTTTCTTTACCTCTTTCATAAAATGACAAATGCATATCACCTACATACTGCAAGACTCTGCATTAGGTAGCATAGCTGCACTAAGCAGTGTTGATAACTCACTGCCATTCTACTTTCACTTTGACCTTGAACTTCACTGAATACTGATTCCGACCTCATTTCTGAACTTTTGTGTATTGATGATAAACAATAGTGGTGGATGTACTTCTAAAATAATTGTTCCTTTTCTAAATCTCTATTAATGGCTCGGAATTAATAAATTGTATAGAATCGATACATTTAATTTACATGCTACATGTGTACACAATGGGAGATATGCGCATAAGCTGTCTGTTCCTAAAAGGGGGGGGGGGGGAGGGGTATTAACAAATCGATTTGTTTCAAAATATGTATAAACAAATTAAAATTTGCTTCTTTCATAAATTTAAACAATTGGAAATGATAGTAAACACCGAGTTCAAAACAAAGTAAAGATCTATGAGAATTTTCTCTTACCAATAGGCTTCACATATTGGGTACAGCCCACTAATTGTTTTCCCATAGGCGGCAATGTTAACATTTCTTCACATAGCAATGTCCCTAATTTTCGTTCAGCATTGAGTGACCCCTCAAATCAAAGCACATCAAGTTGTCTTTCCTTGGTTAAAATCTCGAGGTGGCATGTCAGATTCGTTTTCCGGCAAAATGCGTCTGTCTGCGTTAACCTCTGAAAATGAAAGTGAAAGTAGGGGATTTCAAGACTTCTCACTGGTGTTATAATACATAAAATAATTCTGCTGATCTTCTTGATAAATTACATCTGCCAAGCTTTTTTGCAAGGGAACATACTCCTTATCAACAAGTATGAGGCTCAGTTTAATACCTTATCACAGTTTTTTTTACTCAGGTCTGCAAATTAAAGAACTTGTAATTTTTTCTGCACTACTTTCTTCTCCTACCGATTCTAAAAATAATTAGAGGTATGTACCCAATATGAAAAGAATTTTCTGGATTTTACAACATTTAACATCATAAGTCATACTACAGACTATGTAGTGACATTATGCCAAATTTCAGGAAAATTCAATCATTAATAAAGATTTTACAGCATGCACAGTTCTATATGCAAAATTCTTTTAAAACGCTTCCATCTAGCCACAACTGCACCCAAATTTTAAGTCATCGGTTAGCCTATTAATGTACTTATACCATTTTTATTCTCTTTCATAATTTTAAATACATCAAGCAAAATCATAATCAAGCACTCATACGGGTCCATTTCTCTTATTTTAAAAAATCAATGCATTTTTGCACAAAATTTTATATCCCTCACCCTTGAATTCATTGTTTCTCCATGATTGACAAAAAAATTAAGTTTACAAATACCCCGAAAGTAGTAAAAATAGAAAGTACTGATTATTTCCTGTCCATTGATGCATCATTCAGGAAAATTGGTATAGGAATAAAGAAGTTATAAGCCCTTATATTCTTGTAAACATTCATCTGTTTCAAAGCAATTTTTACGCCAATGCAAGGTCACTCATCTATGACATCATAATGACATCATAATGGATTGCTTATTACACATGTAGTGTTACTTTTCCCGTACTTTTAATTAAAGTTGAAATTAGAACTTAAATATTCATTATAACTATAAAATAACAAAAATACTTGCATGAGCAGATCAAATAAATAGTCTACAGAAAATGTTTTGTTTCCATGGTAACCATTTTGTAATTTGTAGGAAAATGAAAGAGAACTTTGAAAGTTTTGAATTTCCTTACAAGTCGCTCATTCTGACTGACAAATATTAAAGAAATTTCAACTCTTATATTTTTTAATCTTAATATTTTATCATACACAACACTATGAATGTAACTGTTTTGAAATTCTCTTTAAAACATATTAGCTGTAAAATATATAGCATACATGTACAGATTAGTTTGATGTTCACTTTCATTGCTCAAATATTCATTTAAAATCTACATTTACTAAGCTTTAACACCCCCCCCCCCCTCCTCCCGCACACACACACATACACACAAAGAAGCTTTAGAAAATTCAACTTACATATTAAAAGCACTGCCATCATTTTATATATGAAGACTCAAGCTGTGTTCAAATGAGTTTGTTTTTCCTGACTGATAGTTTTAAACACCATCTGCATGAACCTCAAAGTTAACCTGTATCACCATGAACCTAAAAAAAAATCAATTTAAAAAATGGTGCAATAATTAATCAGCATCAAAAAGCACCTAAAACATTCACAGACAGACATCAAACACACACAATCCTACAACATTCCCTGATGCCCTTAATTTGATATCAATTGAAAATTATGAATTTGCACTGATTAGTCTCAGCATTGTTAAATTACATGTAAATTAATAATACAGGTAAAAAGCATGTAACTGACAATAATTATACATTAGACAAATACATGTAATCCAGTTAATAAAATATAAAAAAAAAAAAAATGTTAGTGTGCATGTTCACACACACACACTGCTTAACTTCTACACAACTGTAGCCTGACCGACTTCTTTGAAAAAATGCACATGTATGTCCTCGTTCATGTAATTCTATTCCATGAAAATAAAAGTTTTCATTTACAAATATTGTAATAAAGCATGGAAACCTCTTTTTTCTTTACCTCTTTCATAAAATGACAAATGCATATCACCTACATACTGCAAGACTCTGCATTAGGTAGCATAGCTGCACTAAGCAGTGTTGATAACTCACTGCCATTCTACTTTCACTTTGACCTTGAACTTCACTGAATACTGATTCCGACCTCATTTCTGAACTTTTGTGTATTGATGATAAACAATAGTGGTGGATGTACTTCTAAAATAATTGTTCCTTTTCTAAATCTCTATTAATGGCTCGGAATTAATAAATTGTATAGAATCGATACATTTAATTTACATGCTACATGTGTACACAATGGGAGATATGCGCATAAGCTGTCTGTTCCTAAAAGGGGGGGGGGGGGAGGGGTATTAACAAATCGATTTGTTTCAAAATATGTATAAACAAATTAAAATTTGCTTCTTTCATAAATTTAAACAATTGGAAATGATAGTAAACACCGAGTTCAAAACAAAGTAAAGATCTATGAGAATTTTCTCTTACCAATAGGCTTCACATATTGGGTACAGCCCACTAATTGTTTTCCCATAGGCGGCAATGTTAACATTTCTTCACATAGCAATGTCCCTAATTTTCGTTCAGCATTGAGTGACCCCTCAAATCAAAGCACATCAAGTTGTCTTTCCTTGGTTAAAATCTCGAGGTGGCATGTCAGATTCGTTTTCCGGCAAAATGCGTCTGTCTGCGTTAACCTCTGAAAATGAAAGTGAAAGTAGGGGATTTCAAGACTTCTCACTGGTGTTATAATACATAAAATAATTCTGCTGATCTTCTTGATAAATTACATCTGCCAAGCTTTTTTGCAAGGGAACATACTCCTTATCAACAAGTATGAGGCTCAGTTTAATACCTTATCACAGTTTTTTTTACTCAGGTCTGCAAATTAAAGAACTTGTAATTTTTTCTGCACTACTTTCTTCTCCTACCGATTCTAAAAATAATTAGAGGTATGTACCCAATATGAAAAGAATTTTCTGGATTTTACAACATTTAACATCATAAGTCATACTACAGACTATGTAGTGACATTATGCCAAATTTCAGGAAAATTCAATCATTAATAAAGATTTTACAGCATGCACAGTTCTATATGCAAAATTCTTTTAAAACGCTTCCATCTAGCCACAACTGCACCCAAATTTTAAGTCATCGGTTAGCCTATTAATGTACTTATACCATTTTTATTCTCTTTCATAATTTTAAATACATCAAGCAAAATCATAATCAAGCACTCATACGGGTCCATTTCTCTTATTTTAAAAAATCAATGCATTTTTGCACAAAATTTTATATCCCTCACCCTTGAATTCATTGTTTCTCCATGATTGACAAAAAAATTAAGTTTACAAATACCCCGAAAGTAGTAAAAATAGAAAGTACTGATTATTTCCTGTCCATTGATGCATCATTCAGGAAAATTGGTATAGGAATAAAGAAGTTATAAGCCCTTATATTCTTGTAAACATTCATCTGTTTCAAAGCAATTTTTACGCCAATGCAAGGTCACTCATCTATGACATCATAATGACATCATAATGGATTGCTTATTACACATGTAGTGTTACTTTTCCCGTACTTTTAATTAAAGTTGAAATTAGAACTTAAATATTCATTATAACTATAAAATAACAAAAATACTTGCATGAGCAGATCAAATAAATAGTCTACAGAAAATGTTTTGTTTCCATGGTAACCATTTTGTAATTTGTAGGAAAATGAAAGAGAACTTTGAAAGTTTTGAATTTCCTTACAAGTCGCTCATTCTGACTGACAAATATTAAAGAAATTTCAACTCTTATATTTTTTAATCTTAATATTTTATCATACACAACACTATGAATGTAACTGTTTTGAAATTCTCTTTAAAACATATTAGCTGTAAAATATATAGCATACATGTACAGATTAGTTTGATGTTCACTTTCATTGCTCAAATATTCATTTAAAATCTACATTTACTAAGCTTTAACACCCCCCCCCCCCTCCTCCCGCACACACACACATACACACAAAGAAGCTTTAGAAAATTCAACTTACATATTAAAAGCACTGCCATCATTTTATATATGAAGACTCAAGCTGTGTTCAAATGAGTTTGTTTTTCCTGACTGATAGTTTTAAACACCATCTGCATGAACCTCAAAGTTAACCTGTATCACCATGAACCTAAAAAAAAATCAATTTAAAAAATGGTGCAATAATTAATCAGCATCAAAAAGCACCTAAAACATTCACAGACAGACATCAAACACACACAATCCTACAACATTCCCTGATGCCCTTAATTTGATATCAATTGAAAATTATGAATTTGCACTGATTAGTCTCAGCATTGTTAAATTACATGTAAATTAATAATACAGGTAAAAAGCATGTAACTGACAATAATTATACATTAGACAAATACATGTAATCCAGTTAATAAAATATAAAAAAAAAAAAAATGTTAGTGTGCATGTTCACACACACACACTGCTTAACTTCTACACAACTGTAGCCTGACCGACTTCTTTGAAAAAATGCACATGTATGTCCTCGTTCATGTAATTCTATTCCATGAAAATAAAAGTTTTCATTTACAAATATTGTAATAAAGCATGGAAACCTCTTTTTTCTTTACCTCTTTCATAAAATGACAAATGCATATCACCTACATACTGCAAGACTCTGCATTAGGTAGCATAGCTGCACTAAGCAGTGTTGATAACTCACTGCCATTCTACTTTCACTTTGACCTTGAACTTCACTGAATACTGATTCCGACCTCATTTCTGAACTTTTGTGTATTGATGATAAACAATAGTGGTGGATGTACTTCTAAAATAATTGTTCCTTTTCTAAATCTCTATTAATGGCTCGGAATTAATAAATTGTATAGAATCGATACATTTAATTTACATGCTACATGTGTACACAATGGGAGATATGCGCATAAGCTGTCTGTTCCTAAAAGGGGGGGGGGGGAGGGGTATTAACAAATCGATTTGTTTCAAAATATGTATAAACAAATTAAAATTTGCTTCTTTCATAAATTTAAACAATTGGAAATGATAGTAAACACCGAGTTCAAAACAAAGTAAAGATCTATGAGAATTTTCTCTTACCAATAGGCTTCACATATTGGGTACAGCCCACTAATTGTTTTCCCATAGGCGGCAATGTTAACATTTCTTCACATAGCAATGTCCCTAATTTTCGTTCAGCATTGAGTGACCCCTCAAATCAAAGCACATCAAGTTGTCTTTCCTTGGTTAAAATCTCGAGGTGGCATGTCAGATTCGTTTTCCGGCAAAATGCGTCTGTCTGCGTTAACCTCTGAAAATGAAAGTGAAAGTAGGGGATTTCAAGACTTCTCACTGGTGTTATAATACATAAAATAATTCTGCTGATCTTCTTGATAAATTACATCTGCCAAGCTTTTTTGCAAGGGAACATACTCCTTATCAACAAGTATGAGGCTCAGTTTAATACCTTATCACAGTTTTTTTTACTCAGGTCTGCAAATTAAAGAACTTGTAATTTTTTCTGCACTACTTTCTTCTCCTACCGATTCTAAAAATAATTAGAGGTATGTACCCAGATAACACATTTATTGATCATGCAAGTGTCCCAAACCCACCAAATGCTGCTCAGGAGCTTGAAAAGATTTTTTATAAATATATTTGGAATTCCAAATCTCAAGTCACAAAGCATTGTATTATTCAGAGTCTGGAAAATGGTGGGCTGAGATTGACTTGTTTGGTATCTTTTATGAAGAGTTTAGATAACATGGATTCGTTTACTTTTTGACAGTCACTGTTTATCATCTTGGAAGACAATATTAAAAATCTATATTTTCAAATGTTGAACAAATGGTTGTAATGGGTAATATGTACAGTGCATATAAAAAAAAATATTACACAGATGTTCGAATCGTTTTTGGAAATGTGTATTTATTTTAATATTTGAATTTAGGAATTGTACTAACACACTTGTATCTATTTTGGACTCTGTTAGGTACAAGTATAATAGCTTAATACAAGTTGACGGTAACCACGTATTTATTAAGAATTGGTTCAACCATGGTGTAAAGTATATATTTGATATTTTTAAAGTTTTATGTTGAAGAATTGTGTGATAAAGTATAGTAATTGATTGGATCAATACAATCTGAACAGAACTTTTGTTGTCAACAAGATTGATGTAATTTTTGGAAACGGTTCCAGATATTATGATATTATGAACTCATTGAAATTGTTTATTAAAAAGAATATATTCAAAAGAAAATATTGCAAACAAATACAAGTCCGGAGTGGTTTGAAAAATTGAGAAATTTATTATTGTAAAGAAAAGAAAAGAAACATATAAGATTATACAGAGATGGAGAAAATTTTCATTATTAGAATAAATGTTAAATTTCTTAAGCTTTTTCCTGTACATGGACATTTTATTCCAATATTGTTGTTTACTCTTTATTATTATTATTATTATTATTATTATTAATCAATAACTTCATTAATTGTACACATGTACATGTAACAGTATGAACGAGTGTGTGAAAATAATCTTTATTTTAAAGAAAAAATGTCGCCAAAAAAAAATTGTACTATCTGTTTGGTGACCCTACATATAGAGCTCCAACCCTGGCATCAAACATACATGTGTTTTTGTTTTAATGGGGCAATAAAAAAAATTACATGTATTTAGTTATGAAAACTCTTTAAGACTTTACTTGTTTAAAAATGTGAAGTAAATTCGTTAATCTACATTGTATAGTAAATTTGAAAACAAAAAAACAAATATTTTCCCGTGCTGCTGTTTTTTTCAAAATGTCCCCATTCGATTTTAAAGTTATTTTGCTATGTCAAGTTGTACAACAATTTTAAAATGTTAATTCTATAATATATAAAAGAAGTTCAACGTTCGTTTATTGAAAAATATATATAATACTGTGGATTCATCAGTGTTTGTGTTGCGGGAAGGGGGGGGGGGGTAATGTTCGTGGATTTCGTGGGACACCCCCGCCATCCAGGAATTAAAATGACCACGAATAATAAGTTTGTTAATGGAATGGTTCATTAAAACTTCTGTTTATTCGAAATATCCACGAAATTATGTCCCCAGGAACCAGTAAAATGTTTGTTTGCCCATAACATCGACCTTCAGCAACAAATAAAAATGATTCCACAGTGCTGGATCTATTTCTTTAGAACAGTTATTCCTCTGTTCGGATGTTTCATTATTACTTTTTATTTCTAGTTCTCTTCTGTTAATCAACAGTTATGGGATGCTGTTATTCACAACAACCTCATAATGACGAACTACAAAAAATACCAAAGAGAAAAAGGAAACAGTCCCAAAAACGTTCCAATGCACAGCCTAATCCTAAGCAAAAGGTAAACAAAGACTGAGACAGAAACAAAGACTAATGTTTGGAAGGTAAATGAAAATTTCTTTGAAGAACATGAAAAAAACAATTAATGGAGTCTCAAGTGAATTCTCGCAGAACGCATTTTTAACAATAAAAGGACCTGGGCATTAGAGTACATAGAGAACATTCTCTTTTAATCACGAACATTGTATGTTGTATAATAGTGCTAAATTAAGAGTAGGAAAAGACTCAACAACATACATATTTCTGTAGTCCTGTTGTTGATGTAAAGCATATAAATATATGCAAATTATAACTTTTTATGTAAAAACTTGAAAGTGGATGCGATATATTTATTCCTAAGAGATTAAAAAATCGATCTGCATACAGATGTAGACATGCGTTTTGGAAATTATTATATGAAATCTAGAGCGCATATAAAAAATGATTTTAAATTCTTTGTTTTCTTTTCTTGCCATGACAGATATCCAAAAGCACCACCTCTATGCCTTTAGATGAAAGCGTTTCTTGGCCCGATATTGATGGAATAATATTGAATACCGTTTATCTTGATGCCCCATATCCTGAAAAAGCCTATAAGTTTTTACCTATTAACTCTGCCTTTGATCCGCTGAAAATCAGCGATGTAACTGATGTCAATGTATATGATCATCCTGATGCTAGACTAGTACCGGCAGCTCCCCCTCCCCCTGTGCTACCTGTATAAATGTGCCAAACCTGTATTCATAAATAATTTTGTACATTTAATGTAAAATAAATGTATAAAGTAAGTTGCAAAATAAACTGGTAAATATAAGGATTATTTTCTACTATTAGGCATTGACAATTCGCATAAAATATATAAATCAATACGTTTTTCATACCTTTGTTCGTACTGTACGATGTTATTGTTTTTCATAATACATGGTTTGAAAAGCTAAATATTTTTGTGATAAGTATTAAGATCTTACTCTGCTCACCTGATCAGGGTAAAGTGCTCACATTGATTTTGACAGGTCGACAGGGGATGATTCCTCCTCTATGAAATCTGATCCCACCTCTAATGTTTCCAAGAATCTTGGTACTGTGGAATCATTAAAATTCCTGGGCGCCAATTTTCGTGGATTGCTGAAATTTTACAGGTTGGTGGGGACGTAATTTCGTGTATTCTCTTACACCTACAGAAGGAAAGATGACCTTAATTTGTAACCCTAGTTTATAAATTCGTGGATGAGAGGCACCGACGAATTCCAAGAAAGTTGAGCCACCACGACATCTAATGATTCCAGAGTAATTAACTTAATATTTGAGAAATATATTTTGTATTACTGTTCGTTTTATTCAGACCTATACATTTCATTATATCTACAAAACTGTATGAGAGAGTTTTTCTTATTTATTGCACAATGTGATAAATATTGATATTGATTTCATTATATTACCAAATAAAACGATTTAATTTTAATATTTTTTTTTTGAATTTTGCTCTAAATTTATTTCTTAAATATTGAAAACTAATAAAAACGCACATACAAAGCATAATGCTGTTGATAGGAAAAGAGTTTTTTTTTTTTCAAAAGAAGAAATGAGCAGTTAGAGTTACATCTTTTCACCTTTCAAGTTGAGTGCTTTCAGAAAACATAATTTACTTTTTGACAAGAATTCCTAAGGGAAATTTAAAATTTGAAATTTAACCATATCTTCTCTATCAATGTTAATTATTGGCTGATTTCAAATATATACCAGAGTCGGAGAGTTTGCTTAACTTATTTCAAGACTATTTCAAAGGAGAAAAAAAAACAACATTTATTAGATCGGT